GGTTCGGGCGCCGACTCAGGCTCGGAGTACAAGTCCGTACCCCCCTCGTCACTGCCCCTGCCACTTGACCCCTCCTCCACTGCTCTCATCATCCTTACGCCTGCTATGTCTACCGGAGCTGCTTCGGATGCTAACGCGTGCATGGACGCACTTGAGGCAAAACTAGATAACCTCACCAATATCCTCACCAACCTTGCTTCCCAGGCTCCCGGTGCCGCACCACCTTCGGCAGCTCCTGGACCAACTTCAGCATCTCCAAATGCCCCGACACGGATGTGTTATTTGGTGACATTACCGTTGGCTTAAAACTGGTCTTACGACCAAACCCCCGTTTGTGTTTAACAGAGATCGCAAACGCGGCGGCGCCTTCCTATACGCGGTCAAGACTTACGCCCGGCCCGCCCCAGAGGCCTTCGTGGTCAACGGAGAGCCGAGCGAAGAAAAGGCCGTTCGCTACGCCATGTCCTATATGGCGGAGGGGCCCACTCAGCAATGGGCAGAGCGTCATGGGAGCAAAAACCCCTTCCCTTTCCCTCGGTGGAACCTATTCCTCTCTGAGTTCCTCCTTCGGCTCGTTGAGGAGAACAAGCAAGACCTTGCGCTCGCTAAGCTGGAGAGCGCGGGTTATCACATGGGAACGCGGGACGTCTACGGATATACCAATAACTTCAAGGACTTAATAGACCTTGCTGGCTTCGAGGATCCGTTTGTAAGGGGAGCATGTGATGTGACAGCTGTGACTGATCACATGACTGGTCCGTGCGCAGATAGCCCTGTACTTAAGTAGTTGGCCGTGGGGCTGTTCCCCTGGCTTTGGTATCAACTAGGCACCTCGACCCTCATCCCCTGAACACCAAGTACCGCCATGGACTTGACCCTTTGATACAGCAGGACAATTCAAGTCCCCCCAACCTGGTTGTGCTATGGAATCAGTGCATGCATATTGAGTTGTAAATAGAATTATGGGTGCAAATAGTCACTAGCGGGAAGCTCCTGTGGGATTGCTTGTATCTCCATAATAAGGACTAGACGGGGCTGGGGCGTAGCCCCAGCTTTGAATGTTACTTGAATAAAGTAAATGAATTTAAAAAAAATCCCACTAATTACAGAATGGCACACAGGTACACACTAACCCTCTTAAATATCTGGTCTACTATCTACATAGATTGCAACTCAATAAATTTTATATACTTGGTTATTGATTTATGGGCAAATTGAGAGTAGTTAGTATATATTCAGGTGTTAGCATGGTAAATAACCCTAGATATAATGTTTTCATGGTACTGGGTGCAAGATATCACATACAACTTTGTATCCCAATTAGGATTGGTCACACCTTACAGCTTTTGTTACCAATTTGGGGCTTTAACAGCAGTGATGCCAAAAATAGAAATGTGGAGCCAAATGAATTGCTAAGGCTGGTGCCAAACATGTGCATACATTCACACGACATCTGCTTAATATAAGAGTAAGTAACAACACAGAATTATTTAATTAAAGGTTGCTACATCCATTGACTATTCAACTGCAATAGTAACCAAGTACATAGACCTTAGGTTTAACCTCTTCTACACCATATATACAGCAAGCCCTGTCTCCACAAGACCTGCAGTGGCGCTGGGTCATTGTAGGAATCAGCGGAGATCATTGTGTCAGATGGCACATGTGACATGAGCACCCCCCTCCTCCCTCTCCCGCCATATAGGGTAATATGTTCTCACAATGATTATCATTTGACCACTGATGAGATCAAAAATAGGGCAAGAATTAAAATCAATATACACATATGCCAGGCTATATTATATTAAGTCTTTAGCAGGCACAACATGATCACACCTTGATTATAAGTCATCTATAAGTCGACTAGTAGGTGCGGAGAACTATAGAAATTAAGGGTGCTGAAACAATTGTGAACCTACTATTCTGCGATGTGACATCCAGAAGATCTGTATGGCATTCCCATACACACCACTGTGATAGGAACTATGTACATGGGCTCCGAGCCTGTGTGCTCTGGGCATTGCATTGCAAACTAGAGAATACATGACCAGATAGATTCCGTAATTTGCAGTTGGGGGACCGTAAAATGAAGACCCTAGTCATTGCCAGTGGTAGACACCAATGTAAGTTCACTGAAAGTAGTTGAGTGCTCATTGTAGTAATTGCAAGACTGCAAACCTATCCTCCTCCGGCTCTGTGAATCTCAGCAAAGACTGGAGTCCAGGGTTTGGAGTCGAAAGCTCAGCAGGTGCAGATCTGACTATAACACTTTGCAAAGGATATCCCTCCAGTTCTCCATAAAGTTGCTCAGCAAGTTCAATGTCAGGGACCATAAGGTGTTGAAGGCGGCCAGCATCAACTACAGCCTGCCTGATCCTGAGTGAGTAGCTTGAGCATGATAGATCATATCTATCCATTATATGCAAGGTTGTCTGGGAGGCCATATAGTGTTATTAACTTCACCAACTTTAAGAAAGGAAAAACATACCAAGGAATGCCACTGCCCTTCAATTGCTGCAACCAATGCATCCATGAGAGCTGTGACCATCTTGTTTCGACGCTCGCCCCAGTCAAAATCAATCAGCAGCCGGTGAGGGCTAATGAGCTCGAGACCACGACAAAGTCCCCCTGTGTTATCCCATGACATGATATCAAATGTAAGACAAAGATCGGTGATGTTGGGGGAAAGGTTCAAGATTTTGAACATTGATTCTCCATACCCGCCCCGGAGGCGAAGCTTCCTGATCAATTCTCCAAGTGTCTTGTCCTCAGGCTTTTTCTTGAGACTCTTGTCCCTAGTCAGTACTGCTGCCAGTGCCTTAGCCTGGGGCCTAGAGCGGAGGACCACAACATGGTAGAAGAGTGGTGTGCCAACACGATGCCAGGCCTTGCAGACACCAAGGTAGGCAGAGCTTGGGCGCTCAGCCCGAAGGATCCGGAAGTTATATGAGGAGAAGTTACTGTAAGGCACAGAGAGTGCAAGGGTGAGTATCTCCAGAGTGATTTCGTCAGAGACAGAATCGCCATTCAAGAGCTGCATAGATGATAGCAGTGAGCAGTGGCTGAAGAAAAAGGTGGGGGGGAAGGGAAGAAACACGGCTCACATTGACTGTGCGGCTGTTATATTCTTCAACAAGGAACTGCTATTGTTCCTGTTTTTGATTCAACAGCTCACACAACACTCTTCTTTGAGCCAGATGCGGGCGGATGATCAAAGAAAACAAGAACAATGTTCTTGGCGACGATCCTTGTTGTCGTTGTCATGTCCACAAGAACAAGGAGTTCAGCAGCCATGCAGAACTTGAACTCAATTCAGTTGGACAAAGACACTTATTGTTCTAAATTCGGCTCAAACTGATCACCAGACAACCGCGCGCACCAACTTCCCACAGACCCACAGTTGTCACTAGTACACGTCGCTGTGGACACATGACACAGCGCCTGGTGCGGGCGACTCGCAATCAGCGCCACCGTGACCCCAGCTTCATCGGCCGCCCCATCACGAGCTCGTCCTGAACTGCCGCAAAACAACCTCCGTAAAACAGACACTTGCATCGTCTCCATCGCCGTCATCGTCTTGGCCGTGCGGACGGCGTGCGCGCTCCCGAAGCTGGCCGCGACCTCTCCCTGGCATCACAGCAGTTTGCCCTGGTCTTGCGACGCACCTCGGTTTCATTTCGCTCCCTCCAGTCGTCCAAGTTCCAGCGCCCTTGTCCGCATGGGCCACTGACGCCGATAACATCTGCCCAGCTCGCCCGGACCCGAGTCCGAGTCCGGGTCGGCGACTCGACGGCGAGGCGATGCGTGCGGGCCGGCTCGTTCTTGGGCTCGTTATCGGCGATCGCAGACCGGCTATCGGGTGACTCGTCAGCCCCGGGGCACTTCTGGGAGCGTGCATGAAGCGCACGACGCGCCATCTGACCCCGGGCCGAAACTTGAAGAAGGTGTGCCCGAGGATGGGCCGGAGGATGGGCCGCGGGGAACACAGACCCGCCCATTGTTATTTGACGAGGACCGCGCCCGGGCCTCAACATGACGACAGCGCTGTGATTGTGAGATGTCCCATATTTCGGCCTCGCCGCCGGAGGTTGGGCAAGTATGCCGTTGCCAGTGCGACGTGTGTCCCCGACCTGAGGCCCGACGTCCGCCGTGAGGAAAAAGAGAGCATGACGATCAGCCGTAGACGGTAGACGCCACATATCGGATTGCGTCAGCACCTTTTTCGCATCCTTCTTGCCAACCTCTTGCTCGAAAGCTATCTGTCGGCGGATCCAGCAGGGTTGTCGACGGTCGTGTGGACCTGGGCACGCGTGTGAAGCTGGCCGGTGAGAAGTGTCGGGCACGAGCTCGAGTGACGCGCGAGCCGGGCTTGCGCACCGTCGGCGTCGTGTCGGCCACTGGTGGGTGCAGCGACCTTCTCGTGTGACACCGATCGGTCACCGTGCGTGGGAGACGCGCCGCTGGGCCGGTGATCGGATTTAAGCGGCCGCGGCACTGTTCGCTCCTTCCGTGCATTGATTGATATCACGTCGAGAGGCGGACTTGGAATCTGCATCGCCGTTCACCGGCATGATGAGCTCAGGCTGCCCCGCTGACCATAGCATGAGGTCAAAAAAAACGTCTCTCGAGTGACACCTCCCAACCGTTGAAGTCCAAGTTGCGGCGGGGCCGTCGGTTCAAACCCGCGGCGCGTCTTGGCATCAGTCGTGCGTAACGAACTTATTTTGCTCAAACTTGAACGTCAGTGCTCCGCAAGCGACTTATTTTTGGGCAGAAACTGCATGTTCGTCAGGTCTTCCTGTCCTGGGGCGGACGCCTGACGGAATCCTGCATTGCTAGCTGCAGCGGAGGTCAGTGGAAGGGCGATGGACCCTGAGCACGAGGCGCGGCCGGTGCCGCGGCGACCCTGAAAGCTTAAACGATGCATCAAATGATTCAAATCACAGTCACTCACGCCCTCACCGCACAACTTGTCTCCTACCCACCACCAGCCAGCGATGATGGACCAGCCTCCCTCCGTGACCAACGCGCACGCCAACGCCCTCGCCGCCGCGCAGATAGCGTATTTCCCGCCCCCGCCTCCGCCCTTCCCCGGCCTCGGCCTCCCACCGGCGCCAGCGCACTGGTCGCTGCCCGCCGCCGCCGCTGGCCACGGGGCCCTGCCAGCTGCAGACACCCAGCTTGCCGACGTCGTGCGCCAGTTTCTTGCTGTACAGACCGCGCTCCTCGAAAAGTTGATTCCCCAGCCGGCGGTTGCACCCCTCCCGTCAGCCAACGCAACCGAGCTTCTGAACCAGGTCCGCGGCGCACAGCCCACGCGACGGGCTTACTTCCCGCCTCCACCGGCCGGTCTCGGCGTAGCCCCGGCCTCCGCGACGGCGCCCTTCCAATCTCCCAGCACCAACACCGCACCCGCACCGGCCGCAGCGGCTGGCTCCGGTCCGGTGCTCACAGACGCCATCGACCTCCTGCACCAAATCCGCGCCGCCCAAGACCGCCGCGCGGGCGCCCACGCCGCCGAGCTCACGGCCGTGCGCCGGCTGGTCCTCCAGCTTCGCGCGCGGCTCACGGCCGTCGAGAAGGAGCGCGACACCGAGCGCGCGGCCCGGGCGGACCTGATGCGGGCGCTGCAGGCCGCGGCGGGGAACGGCTTGAATGGGTGCGACAACGACTCGGAGTCCGCGTGCAGCGATGATGCGGTCAAGGTGGACCTGGCGGAGGAAGCAGGCACCGGCTCAAAGCTGTAGTAGAGGGGGCCGGTCGCACATGCGCACCGGCGTTTCAATGGACAGACAAGTAGATGTACTACTTACTACTTCTGATGAATTCTCAATACTCCGTTGGGCGGCCGATTGCCTTAGCTGTTCGGCTTCAAGTTTGCCGACACCTTGCCTGCTGACCTGGCCAACGTCACCGTGGATGTGCTTTAAAGCAAGACACCCTTCTTCCAACACGGATTGCGGCCTGGATTAATTTCATTCTATCACTGCTAGCGCTAGCATGGCAATTATTATTATTATTATTATTAAAATTTCCATGCTAGCAGTGATTGAATTACTTATAGCAATCGGAGGTCATACTCTCGGAGGTCCACTTATCTTTTCCTCATCCTCATCCTCACCGTAAGTTATGTTGCTTCAAGGCTTGCTAGCATTTTTGGGGTTAGCTAAGACTTAGCTTGCACTCTTGAGCTTGTCAGCAGCGCATCAACAATTTTCTTCAAGATATGGCTGGTGGGCACATAATTATATGAGGAGGGATAAGGCCGCAAGCGGCAGGTGCCGAACCTTACATAATAAGCCAAGGAAGACCATGGCCCACACCACATGATATGACGTTAGTGCTGTCCACAATTATAATATGGCAGAATATATTCTGAATATATTCAAATAAATATGATTATAATATGCACTGTGCATATTCATTGACCCTAAATATGGCTGATTATGAATATGAATATATTATGAATATAATATATTATGGCCAGCTTATAATCAATTATATTTGAATATCTTATCTCCACCTAAATACTGGCGCTCGGTGAATCGGACAAGCCGGATCTTCATCTGAATCAGCAAGCACAGCCTCAACAGTGATTGACAGACCGGAAAATTTCTATCACTGCCATCGTCTTCCTCCATGTCGCTTCCTATATCTGCAGCCCGAGACTTCCAAAACCTGCTGGAAGCCATCAACAATCTTCCAGCGGAATGCCATAGTGGTACAAGAGTTAGATAATGACGTGGCTCGTCCCAAAAGGGTTATAGAAATGCACAGCCATTCCCGATATGGGGGGGCTGGTTTCAACATGATTCTATAGAGCCAAACCTTAGGTTCGGCAATTATGATATATTTATTGCTCTCACAACTTAGATGTCAGTCTAGTCTCCGTTGAGGAAGGTATACATATCTGACTATAAACAATTAGGAAAATAAGAGAACATTCAGCCTAAACAAAAAACACTTGAAAACAATACTGTCTCTATATTCTATCAATATTGTGGTGTGATCACATTTTTGATAATGGTAATTCAGTGTCAATATGTGACACTGACTCAAAGGGTTTCTCAAAACACATCTGAAAATCATTATATAGGAAGCTGTCTACTATCCCTATGTTGTCTTAAATAGTGCTGGCCTATTATGATATTATCATACTAATGCATAATAATAATATAATAATACTAGACAGGGCTGGGGCTATGCCAAGCTTCAAATGTTACTTCAATAAAGTGAATTTCTAAAATAAAAAATAAGATAAAAATCCGAGTCCTACTAAGTATGTACATACACACCGGGGATTCACACAAAAACTGGGGCCTGGAGCAGGACTTTTTTGTGGGAAAACCGGTGCCAAATGTGGTCAGCCAATTGGAGTCAAATCAGGACTGCGGATTTTTTGTGCACGTGACCGGAAATTACCTTATTTGGTAATTTGTAATTTCCGGTCACATGCATGGAGATCGGTATTTGGGCCTGGATCTGCCACAAAAAAGTCCAGCTTTGGACTGCCTTTTTCCCAAAAACCCCGATGTAATAGGTGCTCAATGATCTTCTTGTATGTCTGGTCTACTATTATCTACATAAATTGCAACTGAAGTCAGTAAACTTTATTGACTTATTTATCGATTTGTGGGCAAATTGATAGTACACACTTAGGTCTTAGCATGGCAATAGCCCTAGATATAATGTTGTTATGGTACTGGGTGCAAGATACTGTGCCCAGCTTTGTATTCCAATTTAGGATTGGTCACACTTGACAGCTTTTCTTACTAATTTGGGCTTTAACAGCAGACATCTGCTTAATATAAGAGTAATTGTCCTCCACAGCATAATATATCTATAGTATAATAGAATAATAATAATGTGAAATATTATATTATAATATTTGATCTTGGTGTAATAAACTTATGGCATTTTCAACCTCAATTTTCACCAAGTATATAGTTCAGTATCAATATTATGCAATGCTCTAGAATAGCAGCATACTTGCTCTGTTAGATCATGTTTGGAAGGGGCTTGTCAGTCACATGTTTATAGTGAATTGCCTTTTTTTTCTGAAAATTGTGACTATATGACAATATAGATAGTGTGTTATGAGTGCGTATATTGGTGCATGTAAGGGCAACCCCAGAGGCCTGAGATCAAGGTCCTAGCAGGGGAGGATCCAAAGAGAAGAAACTCTAAGGGTCCATCTGCTAGGTGGCTGACTATATACTGCTTGTCTGTAGCTGCCGCTGGAGGGTGGTGACGGATCCGTGATAGCGCAGGCTTGAGTGGGGGGGTTGGACCGGAATCAGAATCGGAATTGGGACCGTCTCAGGGGGGCCAACAGGGAGGTTCCCCTGACAGTGTAGGCTAGTCATCCCATCACTTTAATGGTTGATAGTCTAATATGTATCATATGTAAGTCTTTTTCAACTGACAGTATCATTCCCAACAGGGATGACTATGAGCAAGAAGAGTATTCACAGTATATAAATACTATAGAACAGGTATAGAAGTAGTACTAGTTAGTATACAAACTAGTTTGGTGCAAAGTTAATGAGTTATCAAATTTAAACATGGTTAGGAAGGGAGTAGTCCCAATGTATGTGATATTTAATTATAGGACTGGATTTCTTGTAAGTTGTAAATCACAATTTTTGCAAATTTTATTGCATATCAATCAAAGCAGCAAAAAAAGGCCATTGTTTTGGACTATTATTTCTTATATATACTAGACAGGGCTGCACCCCAGCTGTGTAAAATGGCACTAAATACAAAATAGGGCGTTTCACAAAGCGATTTTCGATGCATTTTCGAGCAAGTTTTGATGGTGCTTTCGAGTAGAATTTTGTAGAAAGTGAGCAAAAATATGATCAAAAATAAGCGCTTCGTGAAATGGGGCCACTAGGCAATGGCACGGGTAGGCCATACCCGCGCGGGTACGCGGGTTTTACCCGCGCGGGTACGGGTACGGGTCAGCGGCTGGCTTACCCGTGGCTTGATGACTCCGCTGGCTTTGCTCCCTTGTGGTCTCCAAGATGCTCTGCGTTTGACTCTGGTCTCGTGCAGCCTTTTTATCCCACCTTCCGGACAATAACCAAGCTGTCTCTTCCTCCCTGCCTGCCCAAACCATGGGTAAACCCATACCTGTACCCGCGGGTATGAGTACTGTGGCTGTGCGGGTACGGGTGCGGGTAGGCCCTCGGATACCCGTGGGTATACCCGTGCCATTCCCTAGGGGCCACCACAGTCACTTTTTGGTTCCCCTCCCAGTCTGTTGTAGCCATGGAGTGCCGCACGTTGCCATTGTTGTCACTGCTGGCTGTGACCGCGACTGGCGTCGTTCGAGGACTCTGCTACCTATGCCAGCACTCCCTCTTCGCAAACGACTGCTGCATAGCATTCTCAAGTACGCCAAGCATGTCCAGGCTTTGAGACAGTGGGTACTGGAGCTCCAGGATGACCACATGAGCTCTGTGGAGAGCTTCATAGCCGTTGACGAATTCGACCTGGAACCCTCCAACCAACGCCAGTCGGACCTCTCCTCCCTCTCCTCTGTTTCGTCCATCTCGTCCATCTCGTCCATCTCGTCCATCTCGTCCATCTCTTCCATTGATTCAGATGCCGCTTCCCATGGAGTCAACTCTTCGATGGAGTGGCCGATGCACAAGATGAGCTTTACCTTAAAAACCTGGCCCAGATACGGGAACACATCGTCTACCTGGAAAACACACGTGTTCTTAACCCCAACATCATCCATAAGCTGTCTCAGCTTTATCTTGTACTTGAGTTGTACAAGAAGGACGATGAGAAATGCTTTCGACACAACCTCCGCGTATCGCCCGAAACTTTCGATGAGATTCTCAAGCGGATTCAAGACCACCATGTCTTCGTTAGCGAAGGACCTCATGACCAGTTCCCCATCGACAAGCAGCTAGTCATCGCGCTCTTTTGGTTTGGCCACTTCGGGAATGCAGCATCAGTCGAGAGCGTTGGGCAATGGGCAGGGGGTGTCTGCAGGACTTGTTGTGAAGGCAACACGTCGTGTTATAACGGCTGTAGTTGCCCTTCACGATGAATACATTCGTTGGCCGAGCGCTGCAGAGAAGGAGGCAGCAAAGGAGTGGGTGGAAGCAGCATCATGTGCAGCATGGCGAGATGGATGGTTGCTTGTTGACGGGACGCTGGTGCCCTTATCAGACAAACCAGGCTTCCATGGCGAGGCTTATTTCGATCGCAAATCAAACTACTCGCTCAATATACAGGTGAGCATCTTCTATCATTTGTTCCTCTCAGTCATTTTATCCACAGCTTATTACCCTTCCCAACCTTCGTATCATCGACTATGTCATCGGCCACACTGGAAGTTGTCACGACTCGACCGCATTCGCTGGCTCGTGTGTATACCGGCATCATGCAACTCTACTGACAGGGCGCGAATGGATCTGGGCTGACTCAGTGTATCCTATCGAGGCATGGTGTGTAACGCCATTCAAGAAGCCAGCATCACTACTGCAGGACAACAAAACCTTCAATTTCTGGGTCTCCCATGTATGTCGTTGCCCCCCGCTCACATGAACTGACACTTATGTGAACCATGGTAGGTTCGCATTCGATCGGAGCATGCCGTCGGATACCTGAAGGGCCGATGGCAAAGCCTGAGAGGTCTCCGCCAGCAGATCAAGAATGCAGTAGATCATCAATGAGCACTCGAGTGGATTTGGGCATGCCTTGTCCTTCACGCGATGATACATGAGATTGAGGCGGATGACATTGATGAGGAGTGGGATGCGGAGTGTAGAGCCGAAGGTCTTGCAGATGAGGAGACAAGTGTGGGAGGAAGTGGACTGAGGGAGGAAATACAGCGAGAGTCTACTGGGGCACGGAAACATCGCAAAGTCAAGCAAGATTTATTTTCTAATGCATTATTTGAGTAGCTACATGTCTGTCTACGCTTACATGGAATAGCCCAATTTAAATGGGTCATTTGTATCAAGAGATGAGGGTGGAAGTAAACCCATACCACGCAGTTCCTTCGCATCGACACCGCTCTGTAACAGGCCCATCAGGATCTCATGCTGGCGGTCCTTGTCTCGTTGCTGAGCTGTGTATGTCTGCTCTCGCTCCCGAAATGCCCGATCCTTGTCGCGGTCTTCAGCATCAAGCTTTGCTCGTTTGTTGCTAACCCTCATCATCTTGATCTCCTGATCCTTCCGCTTGAGTGTGACACGGTCGTTACGCATGGCTTCAATACATTGTGCCTCTTCCTTGGTGTTGTCGTCAAAGATCTCAATGGCATGTTTTTTTGTCGCATGTCCAAGTGTGTTCTTGGATTTATTTATTGTGCCCGAACGCGATTTGGAGACAGCTGGAGGCATGGAAGGCTTGGTCTCTGTCTTTGAAGGCTTTGGAGGGATAGACTATTCATTGGTGCATTAGTTAAAGTCCAGCGCTAATAGCATTTGGTTGACTCACCTCGTCAAGGGCAACATCCTCCTCGCCTTCACCACCAAACAATGAAGATGCATAGCTGCTGAAATTGCTTGGCTCCTCACCCTCGTCGTCATCAGCATCAGGGTCATTCGCCATTTCAGCAAGCTCTTCCTCTCCTAGGCTGTCTACTCCTGCAGAGCTTGCTCGAGAACTTGAGAAGAGTGCTTCTGTGTGCGCAGCATGATCAACACCACTGTCTGCAGTGGAGACCCCAACAGGGTTGTAGTTGGGCAACTCGCACCAGAAGGCATGTAAATCATCCCAGAACGGGAAAAGCTTTCGAGTCTGGACTGCTTGCTGTTATTAGCATTCACTGAACTGTATACGGCACACACCAATTGAGTTGCAGGCTTCATCACCGGCCTCGACACCCTTCCCTGTTTCTTTCAACTTGCCACGATACTCGCGATACAATTTCCGGAGGCTAACGGGCTCAACAAGACTGTGCCTGTTCAAATACAATACTCACCGGTCATAACGCTGCTGGAGCAAGCTTGCATAACGTTGAGGGTCTTTTTCATATTCGGTGACAACATCAGGATATTTGGTTTTCATATCGCTATGTTCGAAGACTTTCTTGGCAAACTGGCCAAAGAGTTGCTTCTTCCCATCAGCACCAACGGTCTTGGTTCGTCCTTCTTTTTTGGCATCCTGTGTTGAGTCACTAAACAATTTCAAGCGCAGTTTAGGGTCATCCTTGAGCACAGCCAAAGAGATGTTAGTCCAGTCAGGATTTTTTTCCCACTGGATTGCTGCAGCCCTCTTTTTGGTGTTGACAACTGGATTGGCCATCGATATGACGAGCAGGGAGGGGCATGAGGAGAAATTTTATTCAACAGATGTAATCTTATCAATTCATCTAAGCGGCTGCTGCAATGCCGAAATTGGGTCCGAAAAGCAAAGCAAAGCAAAAGGAGCCTCGACCCTCCTTTTGCATGGTCACAAAAGTCGCTTTTCGGATTTTGATGAGTCAGAAATCCAGGTCAAAATTGCCATCAAAACTTGCTCGAAAATGCGTCGAAAATCGCTTCGTGAAACACCCTAATAGCACACAGGTGCAGCATGCCCAATGGCCTTCTTAACTATCTGGTCTACTATTGTCTCCATAGATTGCAACCCAAGGAAGTAAATTTTATGTACTTATTTATCAATTTGTCAGAAAATTAAAATACTCAGTACACACTTAGATATTAGCACAGACTGCACAGTAAATGACCCATATGATGTGTCTATGCTACAGGGGGCAAGATCATGAACTTATGTATGGCTGAGGATTGGTCACATTTTACAGCTTTTCTTACCAATTCAGGGCTTTAACAGCAGTGATCCCAAAAATAGAAGTGTGAAGCAAATGAATTGCTAAGGCCAGTGCCAAACATGTGCATATATTCACATGACACCTGCTTAATATAAAAGTAATATTCTGCTTAGGAGACGATTTTTTAGCTAAAACCCCAGTGTGATTAGACCTGAGATTGGTTATATTTTACAACTTTTCTTACCTAATTAGTGTTACCACAGCATTAGCCCAAAAATGGAAGTGTGGAGCAAATAAATAGCTAAAGCCAGTGCCAAACATGTATATACATTCACATAACATCTGAATATCATATAAGAGTAGTATCATATTATTATTATTATTATTATTATCCAAGTACTAACAACTTACAAGCCATAATATAATAGTAATAATAATAATAATAATCAGTACTAATGTCATCATTGACATCCCATACCATTGACACAATGTATGCAGATGCATTGGTGGCCAAGGCATGAAGAGCCAACTTGGCAAGAGTTTCACAAAAAAAAAAAGTCATGTGATGATTATCGGGAGAACTTTGAAAGGATCGCCGCAGGCTCATCCGCGGCAAGAGATACCGAGGAGGACAGGGATCCTCTCGTTACCAACGGCCCGCGCATCTCATAATTTACGTCCAGGTTTCGTACTCGGAAGCGTCACACAGTTGCTCCGAGCTCGAGAGTCGGAAGACGGGTGACATGGATTCCTTCGCGAATTCAAAGCTACCGGTATCGCGACAAGCTACCGGTATCGCGACTGTCGATCCCTCGGCTTAGCTAGTCAGATATGAATTCCAGTATGTTACTCTCACTCCGGCGTCGGGGATAGGGGAAAACGAAAATGCAACTTGAAGTTTCGTCTTCGTCAGAACCGTTCAAGCGATACCTGGTTCAGAAGATACCAGATCGACACCGGCTACAGCCGAATTCGGGCAGCTCGGGGGCTCCATGTTGCGGCACAGTGTGCTTAGTATCCGTATTTGTTCCAATCGTTGTGAAATTAAGTAACTTCGATTGGACGATCGTAAACAAATTTGAAGGTCAAACTTCTCAGCAGGGGCGCGACTACTGGCACGGTCCGAGCACACTGGCACAACGTCCTCTCACTTGTAAAGCTTGTCCACGAAGCCACCTGTCATTACTATTATAAACGTAAATCCCGTCCAAAGCCAGCGTACATATACTTCGACTTGAAGCTACACCTTCCCTGTCTCGAGGTCAGGCCCTTTAGGCAGGGGCACAGGTACATGACCATCATACACCTCCGATTGCGTGTACTTGGCCTCTGTGGGGCTGGCGCCGGCGCCGCTCATGCTCTTGAGCGCAAATGACATGCCCGCGCCGATTGGCCCGATCGTCGCCCTGTTCCCGCCGCCCGAAGAGGACAGTACTTGAAGATTGCGGCCGCCGCCGCTCGCTGTCTGAGCGCGAACCTGACAGGCGTGGATCGTTCGTCTGCCGGGAGTTCATGCTGGCGGAAATTTGGTCAGCTAATGCCACACCGCCAGAGCAAGAACATACAGCGCAAGCACGGAACACACGTAGAGGGTGGGGAGCGGGAAGTCCACGATGAAGTTCCTGCGGGGCTCAGATTTCGCTCTACAAGGTTATTCATGCAACTCACACTGCCCGCCGCTATATGATTATGATTAATGGTTACCCAAACGCAACAGCAATAAAATCCGACTCGGACACACCCTGAATATCAACGCTAGGGCCAGATCGAGGATAGCTGCCGCAGCCGTGACCGACCCACTTTCAATGGAGACTGAGAATGGTGTGAGCGTGTGATTTATGATTGGATAAGCGTACGACGGACGCTTTACAATCCGGTTAATGTGCGAGTCGACATGCGAGAATCCCGTTTTTCTCGCCAACTTCATGCACAGAATTAGATATCGACTTGGAGTAGGATCCATAGCGAAACGTACCAATGCGCGGGCCATGCCTCCCGCGAGAACGATGTCACAGACACATGTGGTTATGAGCCAAGCGGTCGTCGTGGGCGTCAGGTGGCGGAAGTTGGCGAACCTGGCGGCAATAATGACGCGGACGCAGGTGGTTATGCCGAGGGCTACTCAATTGTCAATGAGGGGAGATGGAATGAAATGATTAACATGCCAAATGAGCCGAGAGCCAGGATACAGACGATGCTGGGGACAATATACGAGTTCGAAATGACTAAAGAAAATCAGGAACAATCCTCAAGGACCAGGTATGAATTGCCTTTGATTCGCCAAGCAGTGAACAGTTGAACTGGAAAAGACACAAGTGCCTGGACAATTTTCAGATATGAGTCACGAGCGTCAATCAAAGCTACACGAACAATTAAAAGCGAGTCTGTATCGACTTAAGCAGGATATCTGGTTCAATGAGGGAACTCACCGCCCGGTAATACTGGATTATTTGTTCAAGTCAGACGAGCTGGCCGATTGAACTAGAAACACAAACGTGTAGGAAAGTTGGTGACGGATGCTATCGTGCCTGCAAAGACATGAGCCAACACTCTTCACGGCCAGCTTAAAACAAGGATAGAGAACTCACCAAACTGGATTATCAATGGCTGGTAAATGATGCCACATTCGACCACCACTGAAACGCTCGAAATACGTCCGAAGGGTGGGGTGGGAGATGATGAGAACAGGTGATGGGTGGTGGGGAAGGAGGAAGGGCTAGACTCAGCTACAACCCTCAACACAACACAAAACACCCAAACCAATAGCTAGTTCCAACAAATACAATGTCCTTCAGTCCGTATGATGACGCCGCGCAAGTTCGGGGGCTCCTATCAAGGTATATGATAGTTGCAACCTGGTAATAGTCGGTACAAGAATTGTAGAGTAGTGTTGATATAGTAGTAGTCCAATCCGGCGGCAAAGGTCGTGAGAGTGTAGTCAGTAGTGCTGAATTAAAGTCGGACCGACGGGCGTTATCGGGTCCGGTGTCAATCGAAAGTCTTGGCGCTTCTTAATACAGTTACCCCGGATCGGCGAGGTCGTTATCGTTATCGTTATCGTTGTCGTGGGTGCCCTTATCCTTTGATAATCAGGCCGTTTCGTGGTTGCCCCTACCCTTTGGTAAGCAGGCCGTTTCGTAGTCGTTTCGCGGAGGCCTTATCCTTTGATAATCAGCCAGTGGGTGCAATCACAACGGATTCACTGTCTATCTACTGACATATGCGCTAAACTTATAGATCACCGACGGGCTTGGCATCAATCCGCAGCCGGCAACCGTTGCCGGTCCACCGCCTCCGTCTCCGCCACTGCCCCGCCCGTTGCCTGCATCGCCCAGCTCGTCGCCAACACCGCCTCGCCCGTTGCTGCTGCGCACACTGCGCGTATCGCCCGTCGCCTTGCCCTCTCGCTGCGGCACTACTGCGGATACTGCGGCACCCGCTCACTGCCTCCACCTCACTCCTCTGACTTGACGCGTCTTTGGACGCGTCGCGCGTCGCGTCCCGTCACGGAAGTCACTCCCCGTGACTTTTCCTGGTACCGCCCCCGTGCCAGGTGCGTCATGTCCCCCAATGAAAAATCCTGAGTGTCCTCACTCAGCGTGGCTATGCCGGACCGGTACTATAAATGGTGCCGTCCGCTTGGCGACGATCTCATTCAATCCACCACATGTCCTACCCCGCCTACTTCGATTCTTCCGACTTCGCGGTTGATCCGCGTTTCCCTCTCATCGGAACGATTACTCCCCGCTTCCCCGACTTCTGTATCCCATCCCCTCCCGCACTACTGGAGGTCTCCACTGGTCCTCACGGCGAGACCGAATTCCCTCGTGTCCACGAGCACCCTGCCCCCGTTACTTCCAACGAAGTCCTACGCGCTATCCGCTGGCGTCCCGCTGTGAGCCATTTTTGCTGTATATTCCTCCTCCTAACCATTTTTGGTAGTATCTCGGCAAATGCGCTTATTGCATCGTACACGAGCTCCCTTGCCGTTTCCGCTCCTTTGGTGCCCCTTGCGCCAATTGCCTCCTCGCCGCCCATAACAATTGTTCATACGTCAACCCCGTCCTCTTCATGGCTGCCCTCCGCGACTGGCGTACTGAAGAGATTACCGAGGTTTGTGGGGAATTGTCGCATCAGATCAGCGACCCAACCCAATTAGGTGCGTCTTCTCCTTCGTTCTGCCCCAAGCTAACTTTGTTCCCTTAGCCATTTGCTTCAATCACGCGATTGAGCAGGTCGACCGGGCCGTCCAAGGGACCATGGGAATGTTCGAGGTGCGTGCTCATTTTTCCTTATCCCTTGCTCTAACTTTACCCAGATTGCAACTCAAGCTTTCCACAACCTTGCCCTAGACGGCTACAGCGACCTGGCCCAGTTGCCAAACCGCTCGTCCCATCTCGAGCGCGTCCTCACGCTTCGTCCTTCATAACCGTACTGTTGACTAGAAATTGTGTATGTAATCTTGCTGACTTGATCGGCAATTAATATACGCGTTCTGCCGGCTGGTCCGCTTCTATCACTTCTGTATGAGTCC